GGGGGGAGCGCTCCCCCCAAGTGTTTATTCACTGGAGCTTATGGCAGTTACAGGGTGGGGAAGGGGGGGATCTGTGCCTCCTTTGCGGGAATCTCTCGGCCCCGGGTGGGTTCTCGCTGCCCCCTGCTCCTGCGGCCTTCCCGACCCCACCCCCTGGGACTTTGCCTCCTGCACCAGCCTTTGAGTGCAGAGGCGGGACAAGCCCGTGCCGGGAGGGAGGCTGGTTTTTAGGGCAGAGGAGCAACCGAGCGCTGCATCTCTGATTGCAGAGCCGGGGGGCAGCCAGAGGCTCCAGAGGGTTGGGGCGGGGGCGGGGCTCTGGCAGCTTTTTTTTTTGCTCCGCCCCCCCCGGCGTCCCGATATTTCGTCTTTGGTATCTGGTCACCCTAGGTTTCCCCTGCATCAGAAACCAAATGAAATACCACAAGACAAGCTATGCTTATGCCGGACCGACTGGAAATGGAAAGTCACAGAAATATCCCCAAAGAAAGCCAGATCTTGCAACATTTCCAGGCCAGTTCTGCAGACCCCAATTTTTCTTATAGTTGTCTGAATATCCAGACTTTCAGGTGCTTATCTGATCTGAACTCCCCAATCTCTTTTGAAGTTTGCCCTTCACCAATTGCATCCTGCCTCTCCCTGCAGAAGGAATGGTCAGTAGGTAAGGAGGACATTAAAAATAATAATAAAAAAAATGAGTACATAACACAACAGTTCAATCTCAGCTTTTTATTTTTAACTGTCTCCAAAAAAATTTGAGCTGGCCAGCCAGACGGTAAATTATTGGACGTTTGACACTGAAGTCTGGGCTGGTCCTATCTTAGAATATTTGCTATGGTTCCATATGATATCAAAGTCTAATTTACAATGCAATCTATGTTCCTTTACAGAGCCAAATTCCGTTCTTAGTTACACAAGCGTAACCCCATTTACTTCAGTGTGGTTGTGAGCATGTAAAAGAGTAGAATTTGGCCCACTGGATTTATTTCAAGTTCACAGACATTCTGTAAAGCTTTGCAATTACGGTTGAAAACTTTCTACTCACACAAAACTGAACAACCTTGCCCCACCCCCTGCCCCAACCTCCTCTGAGGCCCCACCCCGTCCTGCCCCTTCTCCGAGGCCCCACCCCCCACTCACTCCATCCCTCCTCCCTCGGTCACTCGCTCTTCCCACCCTCACTCACTTGCTCATTTTCACCAGGCTGGCTCAGGGGGTTGGAGTGCGGGAAGAAATGAGGGTTCTGGCTGGGGGTGTGGGCTCTGGGGTGGGGCCAGACATGAGGAGTTCAGGGTGCGAGAATGAGCTCCGGACTGGGGCAGTGGGTTGGGATGCAGGAGGGAATGAGGGCTCCACCTGTGGATGCAGGCTCTGGAGTGGGGACAGAGTGAGGGGTTTGGGGTGCAGGAGGGGGCTCTGGGCTGGTGGGATGGAGCTGAGGGGTTCGGAGTATGGGATGGGGCTCCAGGCTGAGGCAGGGGACTGGGGTGTGGAGGGGGTACAAGCTCTGGGCTGGGGATGTGGGTTCCGGGGTCTGGCCAAAAATGAGGGGTTCAGGGTGTGGGGGGCTCTGGGCTGAGGCAGGGAGTTGAGGTGCGAGGGCTCCCGCTGGGACTGCGGGCTCTGGTGTGGGGCTGGGGATGAGGGATTTGGGGTGCAGAGGGGGGCTCCAAGCTTGGGCTTTTGAGGGGTTCAGAGGGCGGGAGGGAGATCAAGGCTGGGGCAAGGGTTTGAGGTGCGGGAGGAGGTCGAGGGTGCAGGCTCCGGGCGGCGCTTATCTCAAGCAGCTCCTGGAAGCAGCAGCTCCTATGCAGAGGCACAGCCAGGAGGCGCTGCACACTGCCCCATCTGCAGGCATCACCCCCACAGCTCCTATTGGCCGTGTTTCCCGACCAATGGGAGCCGGAGACAGTACTTTGGGCAGGGGCAGTGTGCAGAGCCCCCTGGTTGCCCCAATGAGTAGGAGCTGAGTGGGGACATGCTGCTGCTTCTGGGAGCTGCAGGGAGCCTGCCTTAGCCCCGCTGCGCCGCCAAGCGGACTTTTAAGGGCCCAGTCAGGGTGCTGACCAGAGCCACCAGGGTCCCTTTTCCATCATGCGTTCCAGACAAAAACCGGACAACTGGCAACCCTATTTGCAATATAAAATGACTTATTAAAAATGGTTTGCAATCTAGCCGAAGAGTAATTGGCATAAGTGAGAAATACATTTAAAGTAGAATCTGTATTGACTGACACAAACCATCATAAAATGACTGTTGTTCCTAATGAAAGAGTCACACAAATGTTAAAGTTGTAAGGCGTTCCTCGAAAGAAAGGGAAATCCCTAGCTAAAGAGTAATCACTCCTGCTTTCCACATAGCATACTAGCAGTGTCATGGCATAACCTTAATAAACATAACAGGCTACCATTGCCCAAGAGGTATGTGTGACGTGCTTTTCACTTCACTGGCATGCATGCCACATGATGCTATGAATCTTACACTGCTTTCCTTTAAAACCTAACCAGCTGGCGGCAATAGACACAACTTGATTGTTGGTCAACACAGCAATTATATGGTCTTTGTTCTACTTGTGATTTGTGACATTTCTGGAAATCATACATTTCCACTGAATGCCTTTCAGTGCAATGTTCAAAGTGTTTCCCTAGCTTCCCCCAGAGTCACGCTGAAATATGTTTGACAAAGTCTGTGTTTGTGATTAATGCTGGAAGGCTCTTGATGATGCCATTATCTGAACTTGCCATTGTCCAATGCACCATTAACTTCTGTTCCTGTGAATGAAAACGGAGAGATGAATTGTGCTTTGCAAAAGACAGCACATTTGTCTTGTAATCTAGCTCCTTGTAGAGTAGGGTTTAATATGTACCATAGGATTCAGATTTGTGTTTGCTTTTCCACAGACGTAGAAATAGCTCCCAGTGGCACTTCATGATGCCAATGTAACAAGAGAACTGGTATTGCCACCATCCAGGAACTGAAATGCCAGAAGACCCAACTCTCATTTTGCCCCAAAAATGGTTCTCTTGAGCATAACAGCCTGGAAAACACAAATATACCATAAATACCAAGATAGTCTAGTCTATTCAGATTCCTATGGACCCCAGGTTCATGAGATATCCATAGTGGGGGGATTTTTAACTATATATTTTTTAAAAGCCTAGTCATGCAGTATCATGTACTTTATCAATCACCAGCAGGCTCGTGCACTCTCCATTCTTTCCCATTAGGGTTTTTGTTTGTTTTTAATTTTTTTAATAGCTCAAGGTTAGGCACTTCAAAAGTTTGAGTAAGCCAAGAGCACAAGTCAGATCCCTAGAAATGCCAAGGGACTTGTGCTCCAAACTTGCTTGGTCACTTTTGAAAATCCCACCCAAACATCTGTTTTCCAAAATGTCAAATGCCCCTCATTCTTAGCACTGTACTAATGAGCAGATAACAGAGAACACTGAAAACAAATGCTGAGAAAACCAAAATTATGAAGGTAGGAAACTGGACAACAGATGCAAAGGTGTACGTGAATGGAAAAGAAATCAAACAGATAGAAGAGTTCTGCTATCTGGGGAGTGTGATGACATTTAAATGTGGCTCCAATGAACATATTCATACAAGATTAGGAAAAGCAAACACATTTTTTCAGACAGACCCCAAAGTAATGATCAGATTATATCATGCAATTGTACTGAGCACACTACTGTACCAAGCAAAGACTTGGACAATGACAGTGGCTCATGAAGTGAGTATTCACCCACAAAAGCCTATGCTCCAATACGTCTGTTAGTCTATAAGTTGCCACAGGACTCTTCGTCCTTTTTGCAGATCCAGACTAACACGGCTACCCCTCTGAAAAGAGATTAGAGGCTGCCCATCACAGATGGCCAAGGAAAATATTACACAAAATCATGGAAAGACAAAACAACAAATGCAAGTGTGAGGGATCTGACCCAGAAGGACATGTTCGAAAATGTCATCAAAGAAAGAAGGCTCAGGTGGGTGGGACACGTATAAAATATAGAAGATGGGAGACGTGCTAAGCAAGCATTGAATTGGGTACCTGAAGGAGGAAAGAGAAAGTGAGAAAGGCCAAGGAAGAACTGACAGAAGACAGAGAAAGAGGATACTGAATGTGCTGGCATCACCTGGGAAGAAGTACCACAACTAGTGAGTGACCATAATCAATGGAGGAACTGCATTGCCACCATGTCAGTGGTATAGGAGGAACTAAGGTCTAAGGGAAAGTAAGATAATAGGGATTGTGGAATCTAGGTTTCACTGTAAACTCTTAACTTCTCCATAATGTGTATTACTTCTCCATAATAATAATGCCCTTACATTAATACAATGATCTTTCACCCTAAGTGCTTTACAACATTTTTGTAACTGATTCAGTCTATGCACAGGGATCATTTAATTCACCATTGAAATGCTGCCATTGGTGGAAAGAGAGAAACTGATCACGAGTACCACCCAGCATTTTAAGACAGGAAGCAATGAATATTTTTTCCAATTGAAAATATAATGGGACTTAACTAAGTAAAATGCAATTGCCCAAGACGAAATGTTGCCTTAAGTTAACGAGAGGCAACACTACTAGTCTTTGACATGGAACAAGAAATGAGTTCTAGTTGTCAGTATACTTGATTTTATCTCACATCTGAAAGGCAGTAATACCTGTAGCACAAGAACCTGTAAACTCCATGGTGGGTCATGTACTGAATCAAAGAAACGATTGCCAGCAGCTGAATGCGAAACATCCTTCCTGCAGCACCTGGCTGCTCTTTGGAGATCTCCTATTCAACTACTGACTCAGCATAAATAGGATTTTCATCTGAGCCGTGTCCTTTGGAACTCGGATGCTATGATGAAGTGTACCTATGATGGGCAGCCTGACTCTCCTGAGATTGTGAGGACGGATGGAATCATAGCCTGCAATGTTTTGGCTAAAGTTCTATCAGAAGGGCTTGTGATAGCATTGCTGCCTGCTAAATTATGCCTTGCAAAGCCATAATTCAGAATTGTATGATCTAGGAGGCATTCCTCATGGTCATGAGGAGCTGTATGTTCTGTTTCAGGGATGGCAAACTTTTTGGCCCGAGGGCCATATCTGGGTATAGAAATTGTATGGTGGGCCATGAATGCTCACAAAATTGGGGTTGGGGTGCGGGCTCCAGGGTGGGCCTGGGGATGAGGGGTTTCTGGTGCAGGAGGGTGCTCCAGGCTGAGACCAAGGGGGTTGGAGGGCAGGAGGGGGATCAGGGCTGGAGCAGGGGGTGGGGCATAGGGGGGAGTAAGGGCTCTGGCTGGGGGTGCCGGCTCTGGGGTGGGGCTCAGGATGAGGAGTTTGGGATGCAGGAGGTTGCTCCAGGCTGGGACCGAGGGGTTCAGAGTGGGATCAAGGCTGGGGTAGGGGGTTGGGGAACCAGGAGGTGGCTCAGGGGTGCAGGCTTCAGGCGGCACTTACCTCATGCAGCTCCCAGAAGCAGCGGCATGTCCCCCTCCGGCTCCTATGCAGAGGTGTGGCCAGGAGGCTCTGCTGCACGCCACCCTGTCCACGGGCACCGCCCCTGTAGTTCCCATTGCAGCTGGCCAATGGGAGCTGTGGGGGTTGCGCTTGGGGAGGTGGCAGTGTGCAGAGCGGAACCCCCTGGCTGCCCCTATGCATTGGTGCCGGAGAGGGGACATGCCTCTGCTTCTGGGAGCCGTGTGGAGCGGCCCCCGACCCTGCTCCCTGGCGGGAGCTCAAAGGCCAGATTAAAATGGCTGTCGGGCTGGGTGCCGCCCGCGGGGCGTAGTTTGCCCACTCCTGTTCTATTTGGTTCAAAAACTATGGAAGACCACATGCTATATGCTTCCTGAGAGCTGCCTGAACTTGTTCCCAGTATCCCAGGTGTTTCTAAAGCAATCTAGTAGTTGTCTTTGCAGTAGGAGTGAGCAAATATTTCTGTAAAGAAAAGGAAAATAGAAAAAAGAAAGAAAGAGGCGCAGATTGAGAGAGGAGAATGAAGACAATAGTAACAAGGAAGTGAAAGGGTGAATACTGCAGAGACAGTCGAGAAGATCCTCACCTGGGGCAGTCAATGGAACTATGGCAATTTACACCAGCAGAGGATCTGCCCAAAGGTAGTACAAAGCAGAGCCTTCGAGAGAGATCAAAGCCACACCCAGAGAGAGAGAGAGAGAGAGAGATAAATGGAGAAGCAGAAAGACAGAGAAAATATAAGCAAAACTAGAAATTAAGGAAAGAGAATAAGTGCAAATAAGGAAAGAGTAGACAATGGGGAAACATGACTCAATTCGGAGTGAGGAAGGAGAAAAGGAACAAAAGGAAAAGCTGGAGGGGTGTATGAAATGAATCTGAGAATTGGGGAAATAGGAAAGGGAGAAGAAATAAGGCAGAAATACAAGATCAATGTTTCTTCGTTCATAGTATTTGTTTTTAATTTGAATGAAAGAACCTGCCTTTTCCTGAACGAGTAGGAAGCCAAGACTGGGCCATTGCACTCTACGGCCATTACAGACCTACAGTCTCGCAGAATCCGTTATCTTGTTGTTAAGTCACATAACACTAAATCTTTTGCTGGTGTATCTATTTCTGCATTTGTAGCACATACAGTTTTTCTCCAACTACATTAGTTTATGGGCCCTGCTGATCCCCTGGGATTCCTACTTGCCTTACCAAGCTGTAGGGTGAATCTGTGTAGAACAGGGGTGTCAAACTCAATTGCACAGGGGGCCAAAACTCAAAACTCGCGGGCCGAACAGTATAACCATTTATTTAACAGACTAAATATTTATGTTTTTTAACCATTAATATGAACCAAAATACAGGATATCATTCCAAAATAAATACATTTCAACTTAAAATATTTTGCTCTTCATAAAAAAATAATCCTGTCAATACAATACATTCAAAAATCTGTACATGCTGGAATATTAAAAAAATACTGAAAATATAAATAAAAAATTAGAATTTAAAAGACAAAAGTAATAATCATAACAAATACATAACA